AGGATGGAACAAGTTTGAATGATGATATGGGATATGTTGGCATGTTTGGTTGGAGTCCCGAGGGCCTCGGGTGAGTTTCGGGTGGTTAAAAGGATCAAATTCATGTTTGAAAAGTTGCAGATTTTCCTTCAGGTCTGTTGCAGACATTTGTTCATTGCGATCGCGTAAAAGGGTTTGCGATCGCGTAGGCTTTGTGGGGCAGAGGTGGAATTTGTTCAGTGCGATCGTAAAGGTCAGTATGCTATCACGTTTGGTTGAGAGTTTGTTCTTCGCGAACGCGTGGTCAATGTCGCATTTGCATAGGAGAGAAAGAGCTGGTGTGAGTTATGAGTTTGTTCTATGCGATCGCGTGGGCGAGTCCCGCGATTGCGGAAGGTAGCCAAGGCAGTGGTACGCGATCATGTGGTGTTTTATGCAATCACGTAGGGTTAAAATGAGGGCAGCCAGATTTGTGCTTCGCGATCGCGAGGCGTTGTCCGCGATCGCGATTAAAGAATTTAAATCGCAAGGCATAATGTTTAAAAGGCCATTATCGTGATTTTTGGCCATAGTTCACCATTTTTTAGTCGGTTTTGGAGCTTCTTGGGGAAGATTGAAGGGGGAATTCAAGAGAATTTCCTTGAGGTAAGATTATTGAACCTAAAACTCAATCCTATGTTGATTCTTACTTGTTTAAACATGAAATTTGGTGGATTTGAAGCCTAAAATTGAGGAGTTAGGGCTTGAAAATTGGAGACCTTAATTTAGGGATTTGAGGGGTCATTTGTGGTCGATTTTAGTATTCTTGGTATGTATGAACTCGTGGGAGGATAAGAATTCCATTTATGTGACTTTTATCTAATTTCGATGCGTGGGCCCTGGGGTCAGGTTGGACCAATTTCAGAATTTTTGGTATAATTTGATTATTTTCCCGTGGGCTTCATTCCCTTAGCATATATTGATGTTGTAATTCTGATTTTGGATAGATTCGACGCGAGTTGAGGCCGAGGTGAGAGGCAAGGGCGTCGCGGAGTAGTATTTCATCCGATTTGAGGTAAGTAACCATTGTAAATCTGGACCTCAGGGTATGAAACCCCGGTATTTCGTAATGTTTTGATAAATGAGGTGGTGCACATGTTAGGTGACGAGCGTGTGGGCGTGCACCGGTAGGGATTGTGACTTGGTCCATTCCGTAACGGCTATTAAGCCGCGTATTTGATTTGAAATCTTATGATATTCCATATTTTAGAGATTGATACTATATTTTGGGTTGTACGCCATGTTTGGGGTCTTGTGCCGTCCTGCTTAGACCCTTAGGGGGTATTTTTACTTCTTTTCTCACTCTATTTGTTTTGAAAGGATATCCTCAGTCATGATTTACCTGTTTCTTTTTTAAATCCGGTTTCATCACTCTACTTCTTAATATATGAAAACTGTTTGTGCTGAGTTCCCTGATTTCCACTGATATGCCCGAGTGGCTGTGAGGTTAATGACTGAGACATGTTGAGGACCTAATAATATATATATATTGGATCGGGCTGCGCGCTGCAGCGATATGATACTTGGACTGTAGGAGTCCCTCCGGAGTCTGTACACCCTCCAGTGAGCACAGTCGACTATAAACTATGGATTGGGCTGAACGCCGCAGTGGTTATTATGATTATGATTATTATTATTATGAGATATTATTGAGCCGGAGTGCTGAGTGTGAGAACTGTTTGACGAGCGCTAAGTCACGAGTGATTGAGAGGCTTGCCCAAGAGGCTATACTTATGAGTGATACCTGGCCCGAGGGGCCCGTTTATTACATTTTACTGCTTTCACTCTTCTTTTTATACTGAGCCTCTGTTGAAAAATATTGAATAAATGATTTCAAAGTATTTTTAATTGAAACTGAAGTTTTACGAGATAACTGACTATGGCACTGCTGGTTTTGACTTGATATTTCTGTTGATAACTCTTATATGGTTTTAAATTGCTCGTCACTGCACTCAGACCTTATTTACTTTAGTTATTTACTGAGTTGGCGTACTCACGTTACTCCCTGCACCTTGTGTGCAGATCCAGGTACCTGAGCATCAGAGTAAGAGCTTCCAGCACTTTCAAAGCTTTACCAGAGATCGCAAGGTAGCTGCACGACGTTTGCAGCCCTGCCTTCCTCCTTCCTATTTTAGTATTTTGTTGTTTCGGACTTATTTTGTATTATTCAAATAGTGTCTTGGTTGTATTTAGAGGCTCATGACTAGTGACACCGGATTGTTGGGCTGTATTGGTATATTTTGTATTGATTTTCACATATTCCCGTTGATTTTGATATTTCATATGAGAATTTGAGACTTAATCGGTTTAGAAAAAATGGTTTTATAAACAGAATTCACTGTAATTACTTGTTGAATTGGCTTGCCTAGTACTGTGATAGGCGCCATCACCACTGGGACATTTGTGGTCATGACAAGTTGGTATCAGAGCCTAGGTTACATAGGTCTCGCGAGTCATGAGCCGATTTAGTAGAGTCTCGCGGATCGATACGGAAATGTCTGTATTTATCCTTGGGAGGCTGCAGAACCTTTAGGAAAATTTTACATTCTTGAATTCCTGTCGTGCGAATCTATTGATTCTAATATTAAACTTTTGCTATTCGATTCTATCACAAATGGTGAGGACACGTGCTACCGGTCAAGACGGACAACCACCAATACCACCAGTTGGGGCCACTAGAGGCTGAGGACGCGGTCGAGGCCGTGGTAGGGGCAGGGGTGTAGCCCGCACAACAGCTAGGGCAGCACCTGCAGATCCACCAGCCGCCCCAGTTCAGGATCAGGTCCCAGATGCGGATGCTCCAGCAGCACCAGCTCAGGCATCGGCTATGCCTATTGTGATTCCAAGCCTTCAGGAGGCTTTAGCGTAGATTCTATCAGTATGCACTGGCCTGGCTCAGGCGGTCTTAGTTACTACGGTCGCAGCTACTTCTCAGGCTAGGGGAGGTTCTCAGACTCCCGTTGCTCGCACACCAGAGCAGGTTGTGCGTGGACTTTAGACACCAGGGGCACCTCCAGCCCAGCCGGTTGCACCAGCTCAGGAGTGTGTGGTACTGGTTATGCCTGACGACGAGCAGCATCGATTGGAGAGGTTTGGTAGACTTCAGCCTACGACTTTTAGTGGTATAGAGGGTGAGGATGCCCAGGATTTCTTGGACAAATGTCAAAGGATTCTTCGTACAACGGGTATTATGGAGACCAGTGGTGTAGCATTTACTACTTTTTAGTTTTCTAGAGCTACCTTTACTTGGTGGGAGGCTTATAAGAGGTGTAGGCCTATTGATGCAGCGCCCCTTACCTGGCAAAAGTTCTCTATTCTCTTTTTGGAGAAGTATGTGCCACAGTCTCACAGAGACGAGCTACACAGGCAGTTCAAGCAGTTGTGTCAGGGAGATATGACTGTGACGTAGTATGAGATGAGGTCTCAGAGTTAGCTCGTCATGCTGTTTGGTTGGTTCCCGCGGATAGAGAGAGGATCATGAGGTTCGTTGATGGCCTCACATATTAGCTTTGGATTCTCATGACCAGGGAGAGGGTGTTAGGTGGTACTTTTGAGAAGGTTGTTGACATTGCTCGCGAGATTGAGTCAGTTCATCGCCAGGAGCGAGATGAGAGGGAGGCCAAGAGGCCTCGGGGATCTGGTAGTTTTGGTGGTGCTCCTTCGAGGGGTCAGTTTCAGCACGGCAAAGGTCGTCCATTCAGACATGCTCAGTCAGCTCGCCCAGTTCATCATGGGGCGTCATCGGGTCATGGTTCTCACAACTCATATCAGGGCCATTCATCACTCAGTGCCCTACCAGCCTAGAGTTCGTCTCGTGCTCCATCGGTTCAGGGTTCTTCCATGCCAGGTCCTTCTACTGGTCATTCAGGTGCTAGGGGTTCCCTTAAGTCCCCGTTCCCCACACTAGGGAGTTGTTAAGAGTGTGGAGAGTTTGGGCATATGAAGAGGCAGTGTCCTCGTCTTCTTGAGGGTATGTCTCAGCAGAGGGGTCAACCCTCGACTTCAGCTCCAGTTACTTCACCACCCGCTCAGGCAGCTAGGGGTGGGGGTCAGTCAATGTCACACCTCCTTTTTACCACCCCGAGGGGGTATATAAGGGAGTTTTTCCAATTATAGTGATATTATTCGAAATGGGATTATTTTATTTTATTTATTTCAGAGTCGCCACTTGGAATAGTTTATTTGGTGTCCCAAGTCACCGATTTATTTTAAAATCCCAAATCGAGGAAATTTCGACTTTATTTTAAAAGTATGTGAACAAGAAATTCTAAGTAAGGAATTATGTTAACCCGGGAGAAGGTGTTAGGCATTTTCGGGTTCCGTGCTTCTAGTATGGTCGCTTAAACTATTAATATTGGCCTATTATCTGATTTACTACATATTTTAAACATATTGTGCATTTTTAGCTTTATAACCGCCTTGGAATTATTTTGACCGCTTTTAGGATTTATGAAATTATTTCTAGAACAAGTTACGATTGTTGTACACTTGTTTGCTTTAGAACAAACCACGAACCACGCTACATGAAATGCACCCCTGATTCACGACATGTGTATTTATTAATATTCGAAGTTATTATGATCGGGTCACATGAAATGCACACCCGAATTTGGGAAATTAAGCATTGTAAATATGTCACGAAAATCGTACCCATAATCACGATGGTATATTAATCGCGCCTAAAGCAAGCTACGATATTTGATTTATTGCTAGTGCAGACTATTATTGCTATGATAATATAGTCAGTGTGATTACCAAGCAGAGACAACCACTGTTTCCATAAGCTAATCAGCAACTACACTTGAAACATAAAGCCCAAAATTCTCGTTCCTTCAACTTTGTTGAATAATCAAGTGAGACAATGAAGGAAAGACATTCATTTTGAATGCATCAAATATTCAAAATTCTGTCAAAATCTTCAATATTAACCAAAAGGAATTCAAGCAATAAAATGATTGAAAAAGAACAACAAAAGATGCAAATTTCTAGCAATTGAAATACCATTAAAACTCAACTTTCAAGTTAGTACTTATATACCCAAATTCCCATACTAACACAAATATGAGGTCCAGTTGTTAAACATATTTAAAAAAACAAGAAAAATAAATAATTAAAGGTAACCCACTAAGTATGACAAATCAAATAAGAAGTTTGAAATACACTAATAGCATTATCCAAGTGTCAGGTAATTGCACATGAATAGGAATTGAAAACCCTAATCCACCAAAGCATACTTCTTGCCTCCTCCCTCACAGTTGAGGCTCACTTACTAGCAAGTCATGTCCTAATAAGTGAATGGAATAAATGTGAAACTACAGAACTCATCTAAACATTAGTGAAGCACCCATACAGGCGCCTACATGCTATGACATATGAGTGATCTTCCGATGAAGGGTCAGTTTGAAAATCTGAGTTACACCTCTTGAGATTCAATAAACATCAAAATTGGAATATGTAGATTGCAGCAATCCAAGGCCAACAAAACAATAACATGAAAATACAACTCAGATGTTTTCTTTTAACAGAAATGTCTTTTCATCAAGTCCAAGCACATAATTGCAGTCATGGAAATAGTTAAGGGCAAAACTATCACAGAATTGTCTTTTCATTCAGCTGTTAAAAAATCACATATTCCGGAGCAGAGTTCAAAGAATTGTCCTGCGTCAAGATCCTTTATATCAACTGCTTCACTACTGACTAAGCAACGGCCATGCTGACCAATGAGAGGAAATGATAAAAGCACCAGAATGATTAACTAACATAGGATTATCTATAAACATCAAATCCAAAATCGAATTAAAGGCATCAACATCAGAAGAAGATCATTAAAATGGGGATTTCAGAAAGCAAATTTCAAATCGCAAGAGTTAACCGTACTAGAAATGGAGCAGAACATCATAAAACAAGGGTACGTTCCCGACAAATTTTAGCAAAAAAATAGTTTAAGCTCGCACAAAACATTGATGAATTTAAGAGAAACAAGGGAACTGTTGTTACAATTTCATCGCAACGGAGCATCTAACAACAATTATAGCATTTTCAAATCGAGATTCATACCTGAAACACAAATAAGAATCGAAAAAATGCCAGGACAAAGGCTGAAAGAACCGATGCTATGTTGGAAATCAGCTACATGGACAGCAGTGAAATCATCGACGAAATCAGCCCCTACTCCTAGCTTCATAAACTCTTTCCCAAATTTGTTTACACTTGAATTTTCAAAAAAATAGAGCAAGTGAGTAGAAGTTTAACCATAGCTTTCAAATTCTTTTTTTTCGATTTCGCCGATTTTAGTTGTTCTCTAAAATTATATGCAAAAATCAGATCATGAGGGCATGTATGTCTGTTGAAGATGAGGAATGGAGAAGAAGAAAAGGGGAACCATGGTGTTGCCGTTTTCTCTGGTTTTTAAGGGAGATGAAGGGGGAGTGAGAAGAAAAAGGGAAAAGGGGAAAGTTGCGTTGGGTTCTTCAATTAAGGGATCTCATTCTTTAGGTCTAGGTGCTAGGTTTTGATTAAAGGGGATAGGTTTTGAGTTGGTTCGGGTCAGGTCAGGCGGGTTTGGGGTTGTTTTGGGGGAATTTGGGTCTTAATTAATTGGGCCATTTTAGGAATTTGCCCAATTTTAAAAGAAACAAGACCAAAAAATGTATTCTTCCTATTTTCATTTTCTTTGTTTTTCCCTTTTCTTTTCTTTAATTAATTAAAATCCTAAATCAATCTATTTTTGTAAAAAATAAAATTCTTTATCTATTTTTAACATTAAAACAACTAATTAACTTAAAACTATAGAAAAATGCTAATTTTAAAGGCTAAAATCTAAATATGTAAAAATGATCATTTTTGTGGGGGTTTTTTTTTTGCTTAATTAAATTAATTCCTACATGCGAATTGAACCTAAGATGGCATGAAATTAAAACGTGATAATATTTTATGTTTTTTTTCATGATTTTAAAATATTAAAAATGCATGAAATATAACTAAATAAAGAAAAACTCCTAAAAATCAATAAATATTATTTTTAGGAGTTATTTTCATGTAGGGCAAAAATTATGTGCTCACAGTTGCCCCTCTTTACTCGGAAACATGAAAAGTTTTCGGGCAAAGATAAAGTGAGCAATTACGAGCAATTTTTGCCTGTTTGAAACTCCATTTGGAAGCATTTTGAAAACGTTTGACCGAACGCTTTGGAGGTTGCCTACATATCTTTTGCTATAAAGGAATCAGGTCGGTGTAGTTCTGGAAGTTTTGGTAGCTGGGACTACCGAGAAACTGTGATTTCATTGCGTTGCTAGTGTTTCTGCTTGTTGAGCTCCTTATTACACCAAAATGAAAAATAAAAAGTTAAACTAGCTAAGCCTATCAACTACGAGTTACAAGATTCCTATCTATAAATCTTCTGAAGCTTGATCTTGAGTCTTGGCTAGTTCTTCCTGCAGGCTCTGATCTGAATCTTGATGCTCGTTAGCTGCAACCGCTGGTTCATTCTTCTTCAGCTTTTTGAGTCAAGGCAGGACATGCAAAGCTTGTGACTTCAATAATATCTTGAGCAGTCCGCATCTTTTCTCCGTTTCTATAATTAGAGTTCAACTTCTTTTCTTGTTCTTTTTTTCTTTTATTTGGGTTGAGACTTCTTCTTTTGGTCATCTCAAACCTTGTGCCTCACGGTAAAAACCTGTTCAGGAACCAAAGCGAACAAATGAACAAAATTTTCTGCCCTAGTTTTCACTAGCAAAATTTCGTGAGTTATTGTAACAAAAATCTAAACTATTTCTTTATTGAAAGCAATTAAAACCGGGATTGTGTATCCCTGAGAAAAAGAGATTAGGGAGTGGAGACCCTATATCAAAAATGCAATCAAATGGGGATCGGAAGCCCTAAGTTGGGAAGATTACCAGGTTATGCTGGAAAAATGACCGGGTTATGCCGGAAAGGTCCTCGGATTATGCCGGGAAAGTCATCGGGTTATGCCAGAAAAGAAAGAAAAAAAGGTCTTCGGGTTATGTCGGGGAAGGTCATCGGGTTATGCCGGAAAAGAAAAAGGTCCTCGGGTTATGCTGGGGAGGTCCAAGGGTTATGCCGGGAAAGTCATCGGGTTATACCAGAAAAGAAAAAGGTCCTCGGGTTATGCCGGGGAGGTCCATGGGTTATACCGAGAAAGTCATCGGGTCATGCCGGGAATAAAAAGGTCCTCAGGTTATGCCGGGGAGGTCCACGGGTTATGACGTGAAAGTCATCGGGTTATGCCGGAAAAAAAAGGTCCTCGGGTTATGCCAGGGAGGTCCACGGGTTATGCTGGGAAAGTCATCGGGTTATGCCGGAAAAGGTCCACGGGTTATGCCAGGAAGGTCCACATGTTATGCCGGGATAGTCATCGGGTTATGCCGGAAAAGAAAAAGGTCCTCGGGTTATACTAGGGAGGTCTACGGGTTATGCTGGGAAAGTGGTAGGGTTATGCCGCAAAAGAAAAAGGTCCTCGGGTTATGTCGGGGATCAACTAGGGAGTGGAACCCTATATTGAAGAAGACTACCAGGTTATGCTGACAATGACTAGGGAATGGGACCCTATGTGAGAAAAGATTACCAGGTTATGCTGGCATCGACTAGGGAATGGGACCTTATGTTGGAAAGGATGTAGCTAAAGATTGGATACCCTATGCTACCATGATTTTGAATTTTTCTTCTTATTCATTTCATTTTTTTTGTTTTATTTAAGAAAATGATTAAAATGCAGGAAAGAATTTAGAGGAGACTTCCCTTTTGGATTAATTTTTGCCGCAAAGTTGTTTCTAGCCCCTGCGCAGTTTTCTGTTTGGTTGCATCTGCTTTTTGCAAGGTTGCTTTGGATTGCACATGTTTCATGTTTTCAAACAAAGAACAATTGTTAGTTTGAAATGGTGGTTGGTTTTGTGGCCTTGATTGTTTCAATCACTCGATCTCGGCCCGACTTCTTGAATGAAAATCTCAGCTGCAACTGTTTGTTCCCTAAGGACCGATTTCATTTCAGGCCCTGGAGAACTTCTGGTTTTTTCTAGACTTTGCCATGACGGTTGGTCGGTGGAACCCAACCTTTTCGACTTTATTTTGCCTTCGTAGGCCTTTCCTTTCTAACTTCCTTTTCTTTTCGTTTCTTTTCCTTTTTTTTTTCTTTTTTCTTTTTTTTTAACTTCGGAGCATTGGGGAACTTTTGGCTCCTCAATCATTGTCGCAATGGCTAGTCACGGGGGAATTAACCCTTTTCAACTTTATTTCACCTTCATAGGCCTTTCATTTCTGGCTTCTTTCTTCCAACTTCCATTTCAGAGCATTTGGGTACCTTGGCTTTTAAAACCTTTGCCGAGACAGTTAGTCACGTGTGACTCAACCTTTCAACTTCATTTTGCCTTTGTAGGCACTTCATTTTGATTTTCTCCTTCCGAGAGTTCTGATTTCGAAGCATCGGTCCCCATGGCTATCGAGGTCGACTTAATGCCCCCTGACGAGGCTGGGTGCCTTTTTGTATATTGGCTTGTATGAAATGAGACCCCTGTAAATCAGTCTTATCATCCCTTCTTTGTCTTAGTTTCTGAATAGAGTTAGACCAAAAGGGATTTAAATTAAAAACAAACAAAGGAATTGATAAATGAATTTAGACAAGAGGTATCCCTTTCAGGTAAAGGAAAGAAGGGCTTATCTGGAGTACATGCGGACTTCGATGAACATGACATGCCTTTTGGACTAGATGCCTGATCTGTTCAAACCGTCCAAATCTCATAAATTCATCACAACTTTTGCCTCGAAATCGAGAAACCTTGCTTAGGACTGCGTCAGTGTCAGTGACTGAAGATCTTCTTTTCGATCAGTGGTGCCCTTTGCGGGTTTTCACGAGCCGGCCTCTCTTATTTCTCTTCTCACCATTGCCTTGTAGTGCTCTTGCGAGTTTTCAATAACAAGACTCTCTCATTTCAATTTCTCTGCTTACTGTCGCCTCGCGGTGCCCGTGTGGGTTTTCACCAATAAGACTCTCTCATTTCCTTTCTCTACTTACCATCGCCTCGCGATGTCCGTGTGGGTTTTCACCAATAAGACTCTCTCATTTTATTTCTCTCATTTTGTTTTATCAGATCTAAGCAACTGTATCCTCCAATTTTGAACATCTTTTACCGATTGATCGGAAGGACTTGAACAAGATTTGGGGTAAAAAGAATTTGGATTAAATTACAACTTTGGAACCTTTCAGGCGAAACCATCGCCGAACCATTGTAACTTCTGCCCCAGTTTCACTTTTGGGGAATTTGGATTTTTGTTTTGGTGTGACCGACTCAAAGGGTTTGCAAAGGGTTGAATATTTGGATAGTGAGAAAGAAAGCCTTCTGGCTTTCTTCATCCCAATCGGAGAACATTAATATTATATAGAGGATTCAACATAGTACCTTTTGACTACATTTGCATTGACAATTGTTTGAGGGATATTTCCTTCGATGTGTCTCAAGCAGAACACACTCTTTTGGCAGTATTTTTGTTGCAATGTATGGACCTTTCCAATCTGAAGCTAATTTTCCTTTAGCTGTTCTAACTCTTTGTTTTATTTCCTTAAACGTATCTTCATTGCGATCTAATTCTTGATTCATTATTTCGGGGTCTGACAGCTTTCAGGATTTGGGCATGAAGTCCGCAAGCATGTCATGTTATTGAAATTTACATTTAACAGAACTAAAAAGAGAATAAGAAAAAAATGACAAGATTAAGAAAAGAGACATTCCTGGACAATAAAATATTGATTTCATTTTATTTTTGTTTATTTTTTTTTATTATTATTTTTTGATTTTTGTAGATAGAAGGATTTATATCGGAAAGTAAGACAATAAAGTAAAACATCCAGATCACACCCTGAGATAATCCGGACGTAGAAAGGATAGCAAGACTGGCTACCGTGACTCCCGTCTGATAGGGAACTTTCAGGCTTGGCGACCGTTTTTTGGATTTTCTTCTGTTTCGGCCATGGCTGCAATGGCCTTTAGTACCGGATCAAATTCCTCAACTTCACAAATCATTTCGACTATTGGCCCGCTGTTGTGTGCAGGCAACAGATTGTTCACATCAAGAGCTTCTTCATCCTAAAAAACAATTCTTTCAGCTTCAATCAAATCTTCAACTGCCCTTTTGAGGGTTCAACAGTCCTCTATACTGTATCCCACTGCTCCAGAGTGGTATTCACATCTAGCATTAGCTTGGTGCGAGGGGGGACTCGGGGTTTGGCCGGTTCGGGGCCATGGTTGCAATAGATTTAGCCTGATTAGCTTTTGGAACAAGCTTGAATACGATTCACCAATAGACGTGAACTGAATCTTTTTGAAAGGCTCTCTTTGGCGAGGATTGGGGAACATTTGGTTGGGGATTATATGGAGATTGGTAGTGATGGGCATTTATGAGAGGTGGAGTTCGGTTTTGTGGATAATATTGTGGCCGCGTGTAAGGGTGCGCGTTCATCACCGCATAGGGAGGTGGTGCCACGGTATTAGAAGCATTTTGAAGGGGACAATAGTGTTGAGGGACCTCATGAAGCATATATGATTGACTGAATGACCTGCGGGCCCCCCTCAAGCTTGAAGCCATCATGGCTCCCTCTTTACTCCTATTTATGTTCATCAAACCCTCCGAACCATTCTGAGCAGCCTGTGATGTGGCCTTAAAAGCAGCATGACTCAAGATTCGACCTGTTTTTAAACCGTTTTTAACCATTTCTCCAATTTTGATATCCTCAGCGAACGGTTTACCCATAGCGGACATCATTTTTTGGAAGTAGTCCGCCTCTTAGGCATGTAGAAAGACCATGACCATTTCAATTTCGTCCATTGGAGGCTTTACCCTGGCAGCTTGCTCACGCCATTTGACAGCATATTCGCGGAAGCTTTCCGCGGTTTTCTTTTTCAAATTGGACAAAGAGTTTCTGTCGGGAGCGATGTCCACGTTATACTGGAACTGGTGGACAAAATCTTAGGCCATATCGTCCCACACGTGCCAATGGGTAATTTCTTGATCCGTATACCACTCAGAAGCGATTCCGGTGAGGCTTTCCCCAAAATAGGCCATTAGCAGCTCCTCTTTTCCACCAGCACCCCTCAATTGGTTACAGTATCGCTTCAGATGAGCAACCGGGTCTCTGTGCCCGTTGTATTTTCAAATTTTGGCATCTTGAAGTCAGCTGGCAAGTGGACATGGGGAAACATACAGAGGTCAGAGTATGAGACACTATTTTGGCCACTCAGACCTTGCATGTTTTTTAGGCTTTGTTCCAGGCTCTTTATCTTTCGAGCCATTTCCTCTTGCTCGGGATTTCTAACCACTTTTTCTTGCTCCACCGAGAGATCATATTGCGGAGGTTGAGTGAAAGAGTACGGGGTCACATATGTTATTTCTGATTGAAGCTGTGGACCCTGAAAGATGAATATTGGAGGCTCAACATACGGCCGTGGTAAAGTTGGTTGTGTTCTGGTGTAGACTGGTGCTGTAGAGAACAATATTGGAGGTGCCCAGGAAACTGGCGCCATGGGAGAACCACAGAAGGCATGCCAGGATCATTGAACGACATTGGAGGGTGCCCGCATGGGATGAGCGGGTTGGGCACAGGGGCGTTGGTAACCTCACCTGACATGGGGATCAACTCAAGAAACCCAGGGATTGCACTTGGCGGTTCCCTACCATTAGACCAGGCGTCCCACATTTTCAATATGCGGAGACGCAACATCCTATTCTCTTCAGCAGCTGCTGATTCTAGCTGCAGAATAGTCAATGTCAAGCTATCCTCAGGACCGATAATTGGTAGATTGCTCGCGGAGGCCATATGTGCCTTTGGATCTTGTGAAGGAGGGGAGGCTAGACTACCAACAAAACCAACCAACAAAACCTGGCTATTTTGCACACCCAACAATCTTGTTAGTTATGAGACGCTTAACAGATAGAAAATTACACGTTTGGATGTAATGCACCTAAACAGTTAAACGTTTCTACCATGTGTTTGAACAGTTGCATGTTTCATCCCGGCCTTAACTAACCCTTTCAGTCTTTTCTTTTGTTTCTGCCTCTCTTTAATCACTCTTGATTTTTCCATCTCGTTTTTGCCGCTCTTTTATTTTTGGCACTCTCTTTTTCTCTTTTGTTTGTCACTTTTTTATTTCTTATCGCTCCTCTTTTTTTCACTCTTTTTCTTTTTCTCTTTTTTTCACTCAATTTTCTTCTTCTCTTTTTTTTTCAGTTTACTTTTTCACTCAGTTTATTTTATGGTTATGATTGAATCTGATGGGGATTGCCTACATATCATGGCGCCGCACGAATCAGATCTTGCGTAGTTCAGGAAGATTGGGAATGGAGTAAATAAACTAACTCTTTTTTTTTTATAACAATCAGACCATGAAAGCTTTGAGGCAAAAGAAAAACATTGTTTTTCAAATCTTAGTTTTTTTTTTGGGATTTTCAAAAGAAATGCTTTAAAAGAAGAAAGGAAATATATATTATTTTTTTTTATTTTGATTTTATTTTTGACAGAAAGCCTTCTTAAAAATCCTTTTCTTTTGATTGGAACTTTGTGAATTTCAAAAGTAAAAGGAAAATATTTTTGTTTGAATTTTCATTTGTTTTCTCTTTTTCTAAAGAAGAAAGAAAATATTGTTGGATTTTGAATGTTGCCTCTTAATTTTCGAAAGAGGGACTTTTTAAAAAAAATAATTTGGATTTCTGAGTTTTTTTTTTCTTTTTTTTATATTTATGAAAGTACTTTAAAAAAAAGCGAAAATATTTTTGGACTTATATTTCTCAATTTTTATGGACATTTACAAAAGAAAGACTTTGAAAGAATAAAAGAATATTTTTGGATTTTTGTTTCTGATTTTTTTTTTTTGGGAAAAAAAATTCAAAATGAAGAAAGCCCGTATTTTGGACCTTGATTTTTCATTATTTCATTTTTTCCGTATGAAAGACTTCAGAAAGAAAGAAACTACTCTTTTTTTTTGAGTTTAAAGAAAACTTCTTCTTTTTTTTTTTGCATTTTCTAAGGAAATATTTCTAAACAAGGAACTAAAGGAAAATATTTTTGGATTTTTTTTTTAAAATTGGGGCCAGAATCGATGAGATTTGCCTACGTATCTCATATCCGGTGAGAGTCAGACCCGCGTAGTTCGGTCAATTTTGACGCAACAGAAAAACATGAAATATTGTTTTGAAACAATCTTCCTTTTTTTCTCCTTTTCTTTTCTCTCTTTTTTTTGGTAGAGTTTTGGTACATTTTGGACACCAAATTTTCAAAGACGAGTAGTTATCTCTCTCATACCTCAATTTGATATTTGTTTTTCCAACTTTTCTTCCTTATTCTAGAAGCCGGTCAACATGCAATCCGAAGAAAATAAATGTACAAGTAGCAAGTAAAATGCATCAGGATGGTCTTTTTATTTCGGATACACCTGTCCTAGACGGACCAAACCTCTGTGTTGAGTCCCCAAAGTCAAATAAACGTGACGCAAACAAACGTTCCTACTAGGGATCCGGCATGAGGCTGTGTTATACTAGGTTTAAAAACCTAGGTATATTGTTCTAGACCTGGCCTACTCGAGCGGATAGCTCGAGCCGGAGGGGAGCAGCGTACCGGGAATACAGAAGCTTCACCGGCTTTGCAACTTGTCTGAACCTCGTTCTAAAATTAGGATATGACTCTAATAGAAGAGAAGTCACACGAAATACACACTTCCCAGATGATTCAGAAGACTCAGAGAGAATAGGGTTTCATAACAATTTATATACAGTTCAATAATATCAAAGCGGTAAAAAGCGACAACTAGCACATTAGGCTCAAACATGTAAAAATCAGATAATAAATAAAGCCAAGTATAACATCTATTCTAAGCTCGAATTCTTGAACCCTGAACCTCAAGTTCTGGGTTATGATCCCCAGTAGAGTTGCCAAAGCTGTCACACCTCCTTTTTACCACCCCGAGGGGGTATATAAGGGAGTTTTTCCAATTAAAGTGATATTATTCGAAATGGGATTATTTTATTTTATTTTATTTATTTCAGAGTCGCCACTTGGAATAGTTTATTTGGTGTCTCAAGTCACCGGTTTATTTTAAAACCCAAAATCGAGGAAATTTCGACTTTATTTTAAAAGCCTGCGAACCAGAAATTCTAAGTAAGGAATTATGTTAATCTGGGAGAAGGTGTTAGGCATTCCCGGGTTCCGTGGTTCTAGCACGGTTGCTTAAACTATTAATATTGGCCTATTATCTTATATACTACATGTTTTAAACCTATTGTGCATTTTTGCTTTATAATCGCCTTTTAATTATTTTAACCGCTTTTAGGATTTATGGAATTATTTCTTGAACAAGTTACAATTGTCGTATACTTGTTTGTTTTGGAACACACCACGAACCACGCTGCATGAAATGCACCCGCGATTCACGACATGTGTATTTATTAATATTCGAAGTTGTTATGATCGGGTCACATGAAATGCACACCCGAATTTGGAAAATTAAGAATAGTAACTATGTCACAAAAATCGTACCCATAATCACGATGGTTTATCAATCGCGTCTAAAGCAAGCTACGATATTTGATTTATTGATAATGCAGACTATTATTGCTATGATAATATAGTCACTGTGATTACCAAGCAGAGACAACCAATGTTTCCATAAGCTAATCAGCAACTACACTTGGAACATAAAGCCCAGAATTCTCGTTCCTTCAACTTTGTTGAATAATCAAGTGAGACAACGAAGGAAAGACATTCATTTTGAATGCATCCAATATTCAAATTTCTGTCAAAATCTTCAATATTAACCAAAAGGAATTCAAGCAATAAAATGATTGAAAAAGAACAACAAAAGATGCAAATTTCCAGCAATTGAAATACCATTAAAACCCAACTTTCAAGTTAGTACTTATATACCAAAAATATCCCTTACTAACACAAATATGAGGTCCAGTTGCTAAATAGATTTAAAACGAACAAGAAAAATAAAATAATTGAAGGTAACCCACTAAGTATGAAAAATCAAATAAGAAGTTTGAAATACACTAATAGCATTATCCAAGTGTGAGGTAATTGCACATGAATAGGAATTGAAAACCCTGATCCACCAAAGCATACTTCTTGCCTCCTCCCTCACAGTTGAGACTCACTTACTAGCAAGTCATATCCTAATAAGTGAATGGCATAAATGTGAAACTGCAGAACTCATCTAAACATTAGTAAATCACCCATACATGCGCCTACATGCTATGACAAATGAGAGATCTTCCGATGAAGGGTCAGTTCGAAAATTTGAGTTACACCCCTTGAGATTCAATAAACATCAAAATTGGAAGATGTAGATTGCAGCAATCCAAGGCCAACAAAACAATAATATGAAAATATGACTCAGATGTTTTTTTTTTAACAAAAATGTCTTTTCATCAAGTCCAAGCACGTAATTGCATCCATGGAAACAGTTAAGGGCAAAACTATCACAGAATTGTCTTTTTATTCAGCTGTTAAAAGATCACATATTTCGGAGTAGAGTTCAAAGAATTATCCTGTGTCAAGAACCTTTATATCAACTGCTTCACTACTGACTAAGCAACGACTATGCTAACTAATGGGAGAAAATGATAAAGCACCAGAATGATTAACTAACATAGGATTATCTATAAACATCAATTCCAAAATCGACTTAAAGGCGTCAACATAAGAAGAAGATCATTAAAATGGGGATTTCAGAAAGCAAATTGGAAATTGCAAGAGTTAGCCGTACTAGAAATGGAGCAGAACATCATAAAACAAGGGAACGTTCACGACAAATTTCAGCAAAACAATAGTTCAAGCTCGCACAAAACATTAATGAATTTAAGAGAAACAAGGGAACTGTTGTTGCAAATTTCATCGTAACGAAGCAGCTAACAACAATTACAGCATCTTCAAATCGAGATTCATACCTGAAACACAAATAAAAATCGAAAATAAATGCCAGGACAAAGGCTGAAAGAACCGATGCTATGTTGGAAATCAGCTACATGGACAGCAGTGAAATCATCGACGAGATCAGCCCCTACTCCTAGCTTCATAAGCTCTTTCCCAAACTTGTTTGCACTTGAATTTTCAGAAAAATAGAACAAGTGAGTAGAAGTTTAACCATAGCTTTCAAATCCTTTTTTTTCGATTTCGCCGATTTTAGCTGTTCTCTAAAATTATGCGCAAAAATCAGATCATGAGGGCATGTATGTCTGTTGAAGATGAGGAATGGAGAAGAAGAAAAGGGGAACCCTGGTATTGCCGTTTTCTCTGGTTTTTAAGGGATATGAAGAGGGAATGAGAAGTAAAAGGGAAAAGGGGAAAGATGCGCTGAGTTCTTCGGGTAAGGGATCTCATTCTTTAGGTCTAGGAGCTAGGTTTTGATTAAAGGGGATGGGTTTTGGGTCGGTTTGGGTTGGGTCAGGCGGGTTTGGGGCTGTTTTGGGGGAATTTGGGTCTTAATTAATTGGGCCAATTTTAAAAGAAACAAGACCAAAAAATGTATTCTTCCTATTTTCCTTTTCTTTGTTTTTCCCTTTTCTTTTCTTTAATTAATTAAAATCCTAAATCAATCTATTTTTGTAGAAAATAAAATTCTTTATCTATTTTTAACATTAAAACAACTAATTAACTTAAAACTATAGAAAAATACTAACTTTAAAGGCTAAAATCTAAATATGTAAAAATGACCATTTTCGTGGGGTTTTTTTACTTAATAAAATTAATTCCTACATGTGAATTGAACCTAATATCACATGAAATTAAAACGTGACAATTTTTTATGTTTTTTTCATGATTTTAAAATATTAAAAATGCATGAAATATAACTAAATAAAGAATAACTCCTAAAAATCAATAAAAATTATTTTTGGTATATTTTTAGGAGTTATTTTCATGTAGGGCAAAAATTAGGTGCTCACAGTCAGCTTAGGTCGCCCCAGATGGGGAGGCCGATCAGGTGGTGGTCAAGCCCGTTTCTATGCACTCCCAACCAGACCAGATGCTATTGCTTCAGATGCTGTGATTACAGGTATTGTCTCAGTTTGTCACAGAGATGTCTCTGTATTATTTGATCCTAGTTTCACTTTTTCATATGTGTCATCATACTTTGCTCGTTATTTGGATATGCCCCGTGAGTCTCTTGTTTCATTTGTTTGTGTATCTACTCCGGTGGGCGATACTATAGTTGTGGACCATGTATACCGGTCGTGTGTGGTGATTATTGGGGGTCTAGAGACCCAAGTAATCCTATTGTTGCTTTGTATGGTGGACTTTGATGTGATATTGGGTATGGATTGGCTATCTCCGTATCATGCTATATTGGACTGTCATGCTAAGATAGTGACGTTGGCTATGCTTGGTGTGCCACTGATTGAGTGGCGAGGTTCGACTGATTTTTTCCCCATTAGGGTGATTTCATTTTTGAAGGCCCAACGGATAGTTGGGAAAGGTTGTCTTTCATACTTAGCCTTTGTGAGGCATGTCATTGCAGAGACTCCTAGTATTGATTCAATTCCTGTTGTGAGGGATTTTCTCGATGTGTTTCCTGCAGACTTGTCGGGCGTACCGTTGGATAGGGATATTGATATTGGTGTTGATTTGGTGTCGGGCACTCAACCCATTTCCATTCCATCGTATCGTATGGCACCGACGGAGTTGAAAGAATTGAAAGAGCAACTTCAAAAACTCCTTGATAAGGGATTTATTCGGCCTAGTGTGTCGTCGTGGGGTGCTCCTGTTCTATTTGTGAAGAATAAAGATGGCACGATGAGAATGTTAACAAAGTTACAATCAAGAATAAGTATCCGTTGCCTTGCATTGATGACTTATTCGACCAGTTTTAGGGAGCGAGAGTGTTCTACAAGATTGATCTTCGTTCAGAGTATCACCAGTTGAAGATCAGGGACTTGAATATTCTTAAAATAGCTTTCAGGACCCGTTATGGTCATTATGAGTTCCTTGTGATGTCTTTTGGGCTGACCAATGCCCCAACAGTGTTCATGTATCTGTTGAATAGCGTGTTTCGGCCTTATCTCAACTCTTTTGTCATAGTTTTCATTGATGATATTCTGGTGTATTCGCGTAGTCAAGAGGAGCACACAGAGCATTTGAGTGTCGTGTTGCAGAGATTGAGGGAGGAGAATCATTATGCAAAGTTCTCCAAATGTGAGTTTTGGCTAAGTTCAGTGGCTTTCTTGGGGCGCGTGGTGTCCAATGAGGGTATTCAAGTTGATCCAAAGAAGATAGAGGCGGTTCAGAGTTGGCCCAGACCGTCCTCAGCCACAGAGATTCGTAGCTTTCTTAGATTGGCAGGTTATTACCGTCGGTTTGTTTAGGAATTTTCATCTATCGCATCACCCTTGACCAAGTTGACTCAAAAGGGTGCTCCATTCAGGTGGTCGGATGAGTGTGAGGCGATCTTTCAGGAGCTCAAGACTGCCTTGACCACAACTTCAATGTTAGTTTTGCTAGCAACTTCATGTTCATATACAGTGTATTGTGATGCTTCGAGAGTTAGTATTAGGTGTGTATTGATGCATGAGGGTAGAGTTATTGCTTATGCTTCTCGTCAGTTGAAGCCCCATGAGAAGAACTACCTTGTTCATGATTTGGAGTTGGCTACCATTGTTCATAAGTTGAAGATTTGGAGGCATTATTGGTGTGTCTTGTGAGGTATTTACTGATCATCGTAGCCTCCAACACTTGTTCAAACAGAAGGATCTCAATTTGCGACAACGGATATGGTTGAAGCTACTAAAGGATTATGATATTACTATCTTGTACCATCCGGGGATGGCCAATGTGGTGGCCGATGACTTGAGTAGGAAGGCTGTGAGTATGGGGAGTTTGGCGTATATCCCTTTTGGGGAGAGACCTCTTGCAGTTGATGTCCAGGACTTGGCCAATCGGTTCGTGAGGTTAGATATTTCAGAGCCCAGTCGGGTATTGGTTTGTATGATTTCTCAGTCTCCCTTATTTGATCACATCAGAGAGCGCCACTATGATGATCCTCATTTGCTTGTCCTTAAGGACAGAGTTCAGCACGACGATGCTAGAGATGTGACTATTGGTGATGATGGGGTGTTGAGGATGTAGGGCCGGATATGTGTGCCCAATGTGGATGGTCTTCGGGAGTTGATTCTGGAGGAGGCTCATAGCTCGCGGTATTCCATCCATCCGGGTGCCGCGAAGATGTATCAGGATCTGAGATAGCATTATTGGTGGAGGAGAATAAAGAAGGACATTGTGGTATTTGTAGCTCGGTGTCTCAATTGTCAGCAGGTTTAGTATGAGCATCAGAGACCGGGAGGCTTGCTTCAGCAAATGGATATTCCAGAGTGGAAGTGTGAGCGGATCACCATGGACTTTGTAGTTTGGATCCCACATACTTTGAATAAGTTCGATGTTATTTGGGTGATTGTGGATCGGCTGAGCAAGTCCGCACACTTCATTCCTGTATGTACTACCTATTTTTCGGAGTGGTTGGCAAAGATCTATATCCGAGAGGTTGTTCGGTTGCATGGTGTCCCAATTTCCATCATTTCAGATAGATGTACTCAGTTTACTTCGTAGTTTTGGAGGGTCGTGTCGAGAGAGTTGGGTACTCAGGTTGAGTTGAGCACAACTTTTCACCCTCAGACGGACGGGCAGTCCGAGCGTACTATTCAGATATTGGATGACATGTTGCGCACTTGTGTCATTGATTTTGCAGGATCATGGGATCGTTTCTACCACTTGCGGAGTTTTCTTATAACAACAGTTATTAGTCGAGTATTCAGATGGCTCCATATGAGGCTTTATATGGGAGACGATGTAGATCTCCAGTTGGTTGGTTTGAGCGCGCTTGTGTCATTGATTTTGGAGGATCATGGGATCATTTTTACCACTTGCGGAGTTTGCTTATAACAACAGTTATCAGTCGAGTATTCAGATGGCTCCATATGAGGCTTTATATGGGAGACGGTGTAGATCTCCATTTGGGTACAGACTTGGTGCAGGATGCTTTAGACAAGGTGAAGGTGATTCAGAAGAGGCTTCGTACAGCGCAGTCGAGGCAAAAGAGTTATGCTGACAAGAAGGTCTGTGATGTGTCTTACATGGTTGGGGAGAAGGTTCTACTTAAGGTTTCACCCATGAAGGGTGTTATGAGAGTTGGGTAAGAAGGGTAAATTGAGTCCTCGGTTTATTAGGCCTTTTGAGGTGCTTCAGAGGATTGGGGAGGTGGCTTACGAGCTTGCTTTGCCACCCATTTTATCGAGTGTCATTCGGTATTTCATGTTGCTATGCTCTGGAAGTATATTGGCAACCCGTCTCATGTTTTGGATTTCAGCACGGGTTTAGTTAGATGATAATTTGACTTATGATGTGGAGCCAGTGGCTATTTTGGAGCGTCAGGTTCGAAAGTTGAGATCAAAGGATATAGCTTCAGTGAAAGTGCAGTAGAGAGGTCAGCCCATGGAGGAGGATTCCTGGGAGACCGAGCAGGAGATACAGAGCAGATATCCTCACATATTCGAGGCTTCAGGTATATTTCTTGACTCGTTCGAGGACGAAGATTTGTTTAAGAGGGGGAGGATGTAACGACCTGGCCGGTCGTTTCTTGAGTTACCGCTCTGTTTCCCCCATTTCTGCTTCTTTTTGTCTTGTTCAGATGTATTATATGATATCAGGTTGGTTGGTTCGGGTTCGGGTTCGGAGAGGTTTTGGAAAGGAATGAAACACTTAGTCTCTTTTGAGTAAGCTTAGGTTGGAAAAGTCAATCGGATGTTGACTTATGTGAAAAAGGGATCGGATGTGAATTCCGATGGTTTGAATAGCTCGGGAGGTGATTTGGGACTTATGAGTGTGATCGGAATGTGTTTTGGAGGTCCGGAGTAGATTTAGGCTTGAATTGGCGAAATTGAAATTTTAGCATATTTCGGTTGATAGGGTAGATTTTGATATAGGGCCGGAATGGAATTCTGGAAGTTGGACTACGTTTGTTGTGTCGTATGTGAGGTGTGTAAAATATTTTAGGTCATTCGGACGAGATTTGATAGACTTTTTGATCGAAATCGGAATTCGGGAGTTTTTGGAGTTCTTAGGCTTGAATCCGTGGTTAATTTGATGTTTTGATGTTGTTTTGAGTGTTCCAAAGGATGGAACGTGTTTGAATGATGATATGAGATATGTTGGCATGTTTGGTTGGGGTCCCGAGGGCTTCGAGTGAGTTTCGGGTGATTAAACGGATCAAATTCATGTTTGAAAAGTTGTAGATTTTCCTTCAGGTCTGTTGCAAACATTTGCTCATTGCGATCGCGTAGAAGGGTTCGCGATCGCGTAGGCTATGTGGGGCAGAGGTGGAAT